AGAATTTAACTGGGAAATATTTTCTCACCCACCACATTTACTGCATATCAGACTGTGACCTGTTTCACTCTCTACAGTTCTTTTGCAAAGGGTACAATATTCAAAGATCGAAATGATGACAATCAAACAATCTCCCAAGTTTTGCGATCAGATTATGAAGCTGCCAGATGAGTGATAGTTACAGAAAACAATAGATAATTATTGTCGAAACGATAAGTCCTGCAGCCACCAGAGGGCATTACCTTACAGGAAAAACTCATCTCCTGCGCACCTGGAGACAGAGCGAGGCAAAGACGAGGAGATATCAGACCACGCCGAAGGTGGTGACAATGGATTTTGATCTGATCGCGAGCAGGCGCTAAGTGACTGCTTAAACATATAAAGTGGTGCAAAATTGTCCTTGTGTTCAACAAGCGCGAGAATGCCTTAAGCCACTGTTAAAAGGATTCCTCATTATTTCCTGAATGACATCATCCTTAACTTCCTCCACAGAAAATCTGGGAGCCTGGTCCTGGATTCGACCAAATAAGAAGCAAGCTACAGTACTGTTTTCTATTAATTTACTATTTTAATCATGAGTGTGTTAAATAATATAAAAAAGCAAGACTTCGCAGAAGAGTTAGGCCAAACAGTGCCGGCTGAAGCGAAAGGGATTGAAATTAAAAACTATTGTTGAGAATTATTATTTATAAAACTGATAGTGAATTTGTTCGCGGAATTATTAAAGCTGTTGCTGAGGATCAAAAGAACAAAGTGACTGAATAGTCAAAATTAGAGCGCAAAAAGAGCGCGAAAAAAATTAAGTTAGCTCAGCTTGAGAAGGAGATCGATCTCCAAAAACTGAAGCTACAACTGGTTGGTGAAAATGCCGATCCTGCTGTTTTTACAGATTTTGAACTAGCATCGCGAAGTTTAGAAAATATCATTACAAGTGTTAAAACACTAACTATAGCTACCCCTCAGAGACCGGAAGCTCTGCATTTGTTTTTTCAGTCGCTTGAAAAATCTTTTACTACCAAAAGCGTTACAGTTCAGTTAAAATCAGAAGTGTTGATTAATTTATTAGGTGATAAATGTAATCATGTTTGAACGTACGCTTCTGAACAAGAAATCGCGGATTATGATAAATTAAAAGCACTAATCTCGAAGGAATTTCAGTCGACACCGCGTGAATGTTTGAATAATTGTAAAAATGCGCAGAGACACTCATGTGACTTGCATGTTTATTTCGCTTCGCGACTCGGTGCAACTTTCGATTATTATTGTAGGTTAAGAGAAGGAGATGGTTTTAAGAAATTGTGTGATCTCATTGTATCTGATAAGTTGTATGAAACGCTTGATTCTAAAACAAAGGAACATATTAGTATTCGGAAGGGCCAAAATTGGTTGCCGCCTAATCAACTGGGGAGAGAATGTGATTTATTTTATTAATCCAGGGGTAAGTCCTTAGCTGATATCAGTAACACGCGAACTGAAACTTCAGAAAATAAAAAGTTTAATTTTTCCAAAAACAATCTTATAAAAGCACAGACCAATTCAAAGTTTCAGGGCGCAAACTCGTAAATCAAAATAATAGTAAATCAGAACGTATTCGGAAGTGAGGGTGAATTGTTAATTTTGCGAGAAATCGCCCCAAACATTTCGAAAAGGAGGAAATTTTATCTCAAAAAAAGGTATCCGGGTTAAATATTAGATCAGATAGGACAGCAAGGAATGAGTTAGAATTTATTGTTAGAATTTATTGAATTGTTGATTGATGGTAGGAAAATAAAATGTGTAAATCGCTTTTTCGGAAAAAATACCTTCTCAATTAATAGAGATTAAATGTTCTTCTGGTCACGTGGCTTAGGCGGAAATGGCTAAGGTTATTTTTTCTTTATGCGAAAGCGAAAAATAAATTGAACTAGAGGCAGCGATGGTTTGTAAGTTGAAAAATAGATTGTATTCCCCCCTTCCTGTCTGGAAAGGTTAGCTGGCATCTGCTCTGGTCGGGTGATGGTTACGTAATATGGAAATGATTCTGTCCCTTCGAAAAGGAATTTTTTGTCTTTTATTTCTGTAGCCAGTGAGGGAGACAGCGAAATAGAATTAACTCACATTACGGACAAAGAATAACGCAATGCTGTTTCCACTGTTAGTAAAGAGTATTTTTTTTTCTTTTTTTGTCAATGGCAGATTGTGAACAATTACAAATGTAACCTAGTCCATTAATTTATACAAGGCCGGATGTGGTGGTCTCCTTATTATGGAGGCACCTAATAGGTGGTCCACCATCGCCCTTCCTATGAAGGGACGGACATTTACAACCATGTTTTCTCCGGAATTTCTCCAGGCCCTTCGGTATCGCAGTCAGCTTCCCTGACCACTATACCGACTGGACGGCTATTAAAGAGTATAAACCACGAGAAAAGCTCCGTAGTATAGATTTAAAAATGAAATCAGAATCAACTGCTGGCCATTAAAATTGCAACACCAGAAAGGAATGATCTGACGAACGTCAAAATCACATGAAAGGAAGAAGATATGGGGATATGCAAATGATTAGTATTTCAGAGCATTTAGAATTTAGACATTACGCAGGAGGGAGAAACAACATCCTGAAGCATTGCATAAAAGAAAGTTGTGCAATGGATTTCTCCATTCGGAAAGCACTGTGTAAGATCGGAGTTTGCTCAGAATATCGTATTATGCCTCGAATAATAAAAGGAAATGCTTACCAGCAAGTGTCGGAATTCGATAGAGGCAGGATAGTTGCCTATCGAGAGTGTGGATTATCGTTCCATGATATCGCTCGTCCCACTGGTCAACATTCAACCACTGTTTTCGACATTAGACTTAAAAAATATTTTTTTCGTGTACCTGTGGAGGAAAACTGCACGAAATATTTGGCATCCATTACACATGCAAGTCTGTACGAATTCCTGAAAGCGCCTTTTCGGTTTGTGCACGTCATCTAGTGTATTCCAAAGATTTAGCAAAGTTCCAAAGTTTTATTTATAATGTGTTTAGAGGTTTAATTCGGCATGACGCTGTTTTTACTTACATGGGCGATTTTATTATTCCAGCGCGAAAGGAGAAAGAAGGTTTAGAAAAGTTAAAACGTGTTTTAGAAGTAGCCAAAGAATACGGTTTGCAGTTAAATTTTAAGAAATTCCAATTTTTGAAAAGAAAAACAGAATTTCTCGGGTATATTATTGAGGTTGATAAAATCCCCCCCCCGTTCTTCTGAAAAACCAGGGCCGTTCAAAATTTCCCGGGGCCCAAAAACATTAAGCAGATTCAGAGCTTCTAGGTTCTTACGGGATATTTTAGAAAATGTATTGCCAGCTATTCAAAAATATCCAAATCGCTAAGTGAACTTCTTCGGAACGGGGTAGAATTCAAATTTGAGTCTGAGAAAAAAAGAGTCATTTAACAAATTCAAAGAACTTTTCTCGACAAGGCCTGCTCTTCATATTTTCAAACAAAGATCACGGCTAGAATTGCACACAGACGGAAGAAGTCACTGGTTTCGGAGCTGTTTTGCTACAAATGTCCGATAATAAACAGTTACACCCTATTTACTTCATGAGTAAAAAACTAACCACAAGAAGAGAAGCTATCTAGTTATAAGCTTGAAGTTTTAGCTATAGCGGAAAAGAAATTCAGAAATTACCTTTTGGGATCTAAGGTCAGAATAATTACTGATTGCGATGTCTTTCAAAAGACTATGTTTTGGTAGTCCCTCGAGAATAATAAGCGATAAAGGTATTGCTTTTATCTCTACAGACCAAGGAAAGATCCAGCACATATTTATGACTACTGGCGTTCTAAGAGGAAATGGGCAGGTGGAAAGAATTCATTTGACTCTGATTCCAGACCTATCCAAGTTATCCATAGAAGATCCTACCAAGTGATACAAATAACGTTGGAGATGTACTGAGCAGCACTAAGACTAAAGTACAAAGAGCTCCTCTTTTGAGTCCCACTGGTGTTAAAATGAGAAATCGAGAGGATTTAAAGATTATTGAAATTCTAAAAGAAGAAGAAACAAATATTATGATGGAAGATCGAGAAGATATGAGAGAGGAAGCAAGGAAAAACATTCTAGGAAGCAAGGAAAAACATTCTAAAAATTCAGGAAACGAACAGAAAAACGTGCAACAAGAAGAGACAAGAGGCACATGTATACAACGGGAACGACCTAGTGGCCATAAAAACAACACAGTATGGAGGTGGTCTAGAGTTATTCTTCGGCCGTACCGTTTAACAACGAGCAAAACCGATACCAGGTGGGAAAAGTTGGACAACATGAAGGTGCTGGCTGTACAACTACAGCAGCGGGGTCATATGAAGCCCTGAACTGTTCCAGCTTAAGACTGCGCGGCTCCTCCGCACTTGTATTTTTGTTGTTGTTTTTTGTTTTTTTTCCCTTGTCTTTTTTTAAAGCTTATTTTCAGGTGCTATCTTGATATACCAGTGTCGCTGGTCCTTATTTTCAAGGCCGAAAACAAAGTCAGGATCGCCAAGCTGGGAGAACGGAAAGTCCTGCAGCTACCAGGGGGCATCACTTGACCGAAAAAATTCATCGCCTGCGCACCTGGAGACGAAAGAGGCAGAGACGAGGAGATGTCAGACCACTCCCCCCGAAGGTGGTGGGAATGGACTTTGATCTGATTGCGAGCGCGAGTAGGCTGAGTGACTGTTTAAACATATAAAGCGATACAAAATTGTCCCTTGTGTTCAACTAGCGCGAGAAAGCGCTAAGCCACTGATATATCCCAATTTAATCTGTAGCATTTTACATTATTAAATGTTCTGTGGCGTGGAAAAAGGATTTCTCATTATTTATTGTATGACATCATCTTCATGTTCCACCACATATATCATTGACGAATAAAACTTCTTTGTAAGTTAAAAAAAATCTTTAAAAGTTGTCATTAGTTTCTTTAAAATCTTATGTCGTATTTCATTTTCTAAGGAGCGCTTTGAATGTGCTTAAAATACTAAAATAACATTACCTTCCAGAGTGCAAGAGCCTGCTTCTTCTCCTTTGCTTTTGACTTCAATTTAGTTTTAATAACTATCACTCCTCTGATTTCCGTGTCTTTATCTGATGAGGGCATTTTAATGGAGTAAGACTGTATGAACTCCCTGGCTGATTTGCTGTCAATGGCTCGTTCTAGAGCAACGATTATGTTGGCCCACTGTTAAAAATAATAATTATTTAATCGCTATGCTTCAGTTCTAAACAAAAATCGAATTATCATAATTTAGTTTTAACAGACAGTGATTATTAACATACCTGTTTAACCCATTCCTTCTCAGATTGAGTTATAACTTCACAGTAGGTATTACCCATCATAGCTATGAGCATATTCAGAAGAAGGATTGGTGTAAATACCATGAACATGGCAAATACTAGTTGTGTTAATTTCTGATAATATGTCTCTCTAATCTCTTCGTACTGAAACATATAATAAAATAAACAGTTAAATATAGATTTTGAACATTACATTTCTACTAATTAACAGAAGTTTTGTAACCTCTTTCTTCATTTAAATTCATGAAATTTGGAAGTTGTTTCACGAGTTTAAATATATATACGATGTATGTGCGCTGTTCAGTAAATAATTGTTTATTTTTATGCATGAGTTTTAGTATGTATCTTTGTTAAAAAGAACATTTTTGACGTAATCACTACTAACTGCAATCATGTCGTCAAATACGTGCTGTACATTGCTTTTCAGTTAAGATCTTTTCTGCATGCTTCATAAAGATTGAAAAATTAGATAAGCGTCTTCTTCGAAGGCATGAAGATTCCTCGAAGTTTTGGGGCAAAGCAATCGCGCTTCACTAGATCTGGGCTGTATGTTGCATGAGGAACATATGTAATGGCGCTTTTTCTGGATACTGTGTAACGGCATTAGCTGCATGAGCTATTACTTTGTCTTGAATAAGTCGCCAAGAAAAAGGGTACATGTTTAGATGCTTCTTTCGGTTATGATATCGTAGTTTTATCGAAACCAACTGGTGATACTGCTTTGTAATTGTCTTCGCTTGATTCTGCATCTTCTGAAAAGTCCCTGAATAAGTACAGGTACAAGTGGGCTGGACATTAGAATTTAACCATTGCTGAGTCAGGCATAGTCCCACAGCATTTACTTTGCAGCTCCGCCAAATTTTGATTAAGAACATTTCCAGGGATGGTCTCAGGGTCTTCCTCTCCTGTTCCCCTAACACTCAGCAGCCCGACAGGACTTTCGAATTGCAAGAATTTTAAGTGTCCCATGCCGTACAGGCATTCTACACTAAGAGAACCGAACCTGGGTCCATGCATACGACAGCCAACGTCACTAATCACTATACGATCAGAGCGGCAAAGTCCCTGAAACGTTTCAGAGCGAGGCAGCCAATCTTTACCATACGTTTCTGTTGCTGTTTTACCTAGGTGAAAGTAGAATTTTATATCTCGGTATTACTCTTTGCTGGTAGAGCCTATTTTGCTGAAGGCACACTGAAAAATATGTTTAATTGTTCGATCTGCATGAGATTTATAATATCATGCTACCATCTAGCCGTTCAAAAATATAATTCCAGTTGTATATAGTCGCGACATAATTCCACACAAAAAAGTCTCATTCTTTATTGAATAGCCCTCGTACGATGTCATGCTTAACTAAAAACTCTGCATCTGCTTTTTAGATGATCTGAATATTTTTAAGTAGCAAACTGCATGAATGCTGTCAAAAACTGAGTTGGTTAGGCAGAAATATGAATGTGTTATTTCAACTAGATTATAGACTGTAGCAACTAGATATAGCACCTCACACACAATACAGAAATGGTGTAAGGTTCGTAACTTCGAATAGTAAAAGGAAATTGTGATCGTGTTGATTATTAATTAATGTTTCCATATAAGTTACTATAGTGGATACATACAACATTACATATGAGTAACACCGTTCGCATTGCTAACACTTGATATTTTGCCGCCAGATGGTATAGTGGTTAGGGGAGCCGACTACGATACCGAAGGACCCGGGTTCGAATCCTGGAAAAAGCCATCGTTGTAACTACCCGTTCCCTTCATATGAGGTAAGGTGCCTCTGCAATAAAATGGCCGCATCTTCGGGCTTTAAGAGTGGACAATGCCAAAAAAAGCACAAAATAGTGCCCGCAGTTCGAAATAATTGATATTCTTTTATTCAATTTTTTATATGTACTGTTGTAAAATGTATTATTATTGTTTTGATTATCTCTCTACCTTATTTGCACTGTATATTTAATTCAAAATTAGATTAGTGATTATGGCATGAAATGTATATCCCATGCATGGCAAGAAGCTGTAGTATGCAGCATCTTGATGGGAAAAAAATGATTTTCAGAACTTCATTGAATTATGGGGGCAGTTTTCAAACCTTAAATCCCTTGCTTTTTAGCCTCATTTAGTTAATTCATACTGAAAAAAGAACGTATATCTTGTGTGAGCTTTCATCAAAATGGGAACAAACACTGACTGAAAACAAATTTAGTTAACCGTAAGAAATAAGTAAAATACAAAGGAATAAAACTCAAACACAAATAAATGCGTACAAATTAAGATTATAAATATGTGGGTTCAATTATTATTTTATATCCCAGGTAGAGAATCGGTCATTTGAAGTTCGAAAAACGGCGTTTCTAAATTCAAAAAAATAGCCTAATAGCACTGCGTTGCCACATGTCATTGTAACTGACATATTTTTATTTGCCTATCTGCAGCATTTTGATAGTTCATTTTTTTATCACTATGCATTTTTAAACGAACAGGCACGTACGATTTTCCTCAGATGTACTGAGAATTTCCCCCCCCCCAAGGTGGCACACCTTCCTAGTGAGCTTCTTGTACAGAAGTAAAAACCCGTTTTTTGCCAAAGAAAACTCTTATTGCCCTTGTCTGTATTTCAGAGTTTTATTGTATATACATATCTACATAAAAATATATCACATATTAATTATTATTTTTAGGAGTTAATATCCTTTTAAGGAAGGTTTTTGTTGTTTGACCTAAATTAATCCTTTTAAGGAGTTAAAATAAAGTATATTTTTAAAATAATAATATATTTTAAAATAAAAAATATATTAAAAATAATATATTTTTTAAAAAACGATAAAATAACATATTTTTGAGGAGGATAAAATATGTTACGTTTTCGATTGGAAAATAATATCTGATCGAATATGGTGTGTAATAAAAAGTCTTTTTGGAAAGAAAGATGAAAATATCTATAAAATATATTACCTCGTAAGATCCGAGAGTCATATGAAAAAGACCCATCCACGTGACTGAATACGAAGAGAATCTTTTCTTGCTATCAGTCCTTTCCATTGGTGGGTTCTTAAAGAGGAAATAGAATGCTAATGAAGAAAGAAAGTAATAGGTAATTAAATGCAAATGGGTATGCTCGACAAGTTTTTAATCTTTTTTTATCTTTTGTTTTAATCCATTATCATTTGAATTTTATGCTCCAAGAAATGTGTGAGTTATTATTCCAACAGCCAAAAAATGTGTGAGTTATTATTCCAACAGTTGTGTTACTAGTTTAAGTAATTCTATTATTATAGAGTCGCATTAAAATGACTGTCACGTAAGTTTGGCGTCAATGCTAAATGACCAATGACATAAGGCACCTGTCAGCCGCAGATCTGGGGAAATGTGTAAAGCGTGTTGTAGGGATTCAGGGAACATTTCATTTTTGTTATGAATAAACAGAGCGATTTATCATACTTAGAAAAATGAATGATTACTTGCTTTCGAACCAAAGGTGGCAGCATTTCAGAAACTGCACAGTTTGTGAACTGTTCACATACTGTTGTGAAATTATAGCATGAATGGTATAATGGCATTATCAAAAATAAGTGGAGTGGAAACTGTAAAACACCACGAGTCAGAGATGAAAGAGGTGAAGGACGGTGCCGATGTAATCGAGCCCACCGAATATTCCACAGTGGAGCAGCTAAAATGGAGCATTGTGTCCAAAACAACAATTCAGCAAAACCTGTTACCTATGGGCCTCAGCAGGCGGATGGGGACAGCGCCTGTGTTGACGACTGTTCATTGGTAGAAGAGGTGGAATTTGTACTGCTGTCTTAAAAGTGGACGTCCGCTGATTGGCGGAAGGTTGCCTTCTCCAAAGAATCACGTTTTTTGCTTTATTGCACGGCTGGACATTAACCCATATCCAAGAAACACCGGAGAACAAACACCCTTAAATCCTTTGTCAATGAATACAAAATGGCGGAGACAACTTTATTAATGGTCTGGAGAATTTTTTGTGGCATTTCCTGCGTCCACTGATCATTACGAAAACCGTTATGGACCACATTAATACTTGACTATATGCACTCATACATGCTGATTGTTTCCCTGGAAGTGTTGGCATCTTCAGGCAAGTGATGGCATCCTGGAAGGTAATACGATGTGCCACGCAGATAAGAATGCACGTAAGTGGTTGGAAGAGCACAAGGTATATTCTACGGTAAAACCCCAGCTTACCATCACTTAAACCCAGTCGAGAACCTGTGGGATCGCGTTGTTTGCTCCAAAGATCCTCCGCCTTGCACCCTCTAGCAGCTGTCAATTTCACTGTAGTCAGCATCATACTGCATCCTTCCCAGCCTATTTATCCTTTGCACATGGTGGTTATTCTGGACATTAACTGGTAGTCACATTAACGTGAACTCGACTGCGTAAATCAAGTGGAACGTTGTTGATTTGAACGAAGAACTTCTGCTTCATTTTAAATGTTGTGTGCACATACGATGACGAATCTGCAATTATAACTTTTAACTTTTTGATACATTAGATGTATTCATAATCCAAAAAAGGCAATATGGCCAAATTCATATGGCCATATTCATTTAAAAAACAGTCCAAAAGAAACAGCCTTTGCTCTATATTTACGCTACACGTGAGAAATTTCTTTAAGCCAGCTCGTTAAATCGCTAGGAAAAGAATCCGAAGGAAACAATCAGTTTCTTTGCACCCGTTTCAGCTACTCGCACACTGGTTCCCGTAAATATACATTGTCATAAAACCTAAACTGAGCGAAGAATACTTAATTTAAAATGGTGCTGCTAAGTTTTATTTTAATATTTTCAAAGCTATCTATGACAAGGATTCCCAAAGTGTACGCCGTGGCGTCCTGTGCCGCAGCGAAATGTCCCTGGCCTTGGATCACGGAGAGACAAGGACTTGCCTTGAAAACTCAGCCTTATTTTTTATTATTTATACGTTCATTAACATGTTTCAGTAATTTTTTATCGTATTTCTTGAAATAGTCGTTCCTTAAGTTTTTCTCAATACGTACATTTCAATTGTTCATCTAGTTCCATTTAAACTATATTTTTAACATTTTTATTTCTCCTTTTAATCTAAAGCAGTTCTTGTTCTCAGTGCCATTTCCTAAAGTGTCATTTTATTCTATCACTTAGTTCTTTTAATTTGCAAATAATTCTATATCATTGAGTCAGATTTGTATTCAATTATTCTGGTACATTTGTTTTGCACCTGTTAACTTCCTGTCACAAGATTGCGACATTTATCTTCTCAGCATTGGTATCTGTTGTCATTTCTTTTTTTCCTCTCGCGGCCGTCAGGATCGAACTCATGTACATGCGGGAAAGTCGTACAATATTATACGTCTATGAGAAAAAAAAAGTCTTGATCTCCGCGAAATGCTGCAATAAATCGAGTCCTTACTGATATTTCCCAAAGTGAAAAGATTGTATTTAAACGAGTAAACGGTTAGTAATTATAGTTTGAGAGACAAGACATCGACAACTGGCGGAGTAGAAAAGAAGCAAACATATAGTGACTATAAGGAGGGTTACTCTCATTTTGGTTTTACTTCAATAGATGTAAATAACGATGAAAGACAATGATAAAAGATGTGCTTAAAAATTTTTGCATTTGAAACTATGCTTCCAAGTAAGCTAAAGAGACATCTTGAAACCATACATCCTAACTTGGTAGATAAAACTCGCTTTTTTTTAGTAAGAAGTTCCGAGATTTACAAAAGCAAAACAGTGTGTTCACTAAACAAGTCTTAGTTACGAATAACGCATAGCTAGAGTCTGCGAAATGCAAAACACTGCGCACTATTGCAAAAGAGCTTATTCTAGCGGTTGCTCTCCGCATGGTTAATATTATGAGGAAAATGGTGCATAAAAACTCATTTTTTAAGGTACCTCTGCCCAACAACACTATTGTTCGAAGAATTCAATATATAGCTTAGAATCTAAATGTTTAGTTGATAGAGAAAAATGAAATGAAATGATTTCGGTCTGCAATTAAATGAGGCTACCTACAGTAACTGTTTTGATTCGAAATCAGACTTCGTTTTATATCCAATTTATTTCACTTTACACACATACAGATAAATGCGATTATTTACATGTAGAATTTAGTATAAAGATAAAGTGATACGCATATCTTAATGATGAAGAAACATTCAGTATTCCAGTAACGTAACTAATTTAACTGCTGCTTGCTTAGGAGAACGGAAATTTCCTCAATCACAACGTTCGAAACTGGTTGCGAGATTCATACATCAAGCTTAATTGCAAAACAAACTCTTAAATAATAATAAACAGGAAATGCTAAAATTAATAGGAGTCACAACAGTAACAAAGAAATTATGTAAGCTTCCTGGATGGCAGTATTATTGTTTTTTTTTTTTTCCCTAATGCCGGGCACTTGCCTATTCCAGCATCGGCCACTCCTAAGGCCAAATCGGTGGTCTCTTTATTATGGAGGCCCCTAATAGGTGGGCCACTATTGCCTCTTATGAAAGGACAGACAATTTTTACATCCATGCCTTTTTTGGAATTGGAACCCGGGCCCTTCGGTATCGCAGTCCGGCTTCCCTAATTACTATGCCGTCTGGCCGGCGCAGTATTATTGTCGAAGATCTTTTCTGTAAGAGCATCATCGGGAGCGCAAAAACTCGACTTGTTCGAAATGCTTGGATAACGGAAAGTGACTTCGCTTGGAAATAGTGCATCCGTGTATGTACCGATGGCGCTCGATCAATGTCCGGTTACCGTAGCCCCGTTCACATGCAGCGCTCCTTCACCCAGCTGCCGTTAGAAAGAAGAGAAAAAGGAGACACGAAGGAGTTTTGTCTTTACGACCCGTTCAGAAGAACGCCGTCTTCCTTCCCTTTAAGGGCTTATCACATCTAGCGACGATCCCCACTATACGAGATTTTTCTGAGAAACGAAATTTTGGTAGCATTGGTTTAAGCGGGAGGATTCCTAGAAAAAACAGCTCCGCTGGAAGTGAAGTCCCGCCTAGCTACGCAAACGATGTCCCGGCTACGCGGGATATTTTTAATGTTCCGTCTGCAGCTCTTTCCCGAGTAGAGATCAACCAATCAGACGAAAGTTCTGCTTCTGAAGGATCACGCGATCCCAAGCTGAGCGATAATCGATTACTGTTTGGCGTTCAAATCTGTCTAGTAAGTGAAAATGGTAACATAGCTACGTAGATTTCGTGGAAATGTGCGGGTTCTGAGAGGTGTCCCTTTCGACGTCCAGTCCCGCGTAGCGAAATATATGTGATAGGAACTTTACACATAAGCCACTGTAAACAATCACGTCACCGAAATGGTTGATTTCTAATACAGTTTACACATTTTTAACGTTGTTTACTGTCGTTACTTTCGTAATCGGTACTTTTGCAAGTGGTACCGGGACTTTCGCAATTAGTTCCCGAAAGAGTTATGCTTTATTATTACTATCCTTTTATAAGCTTTTATTTAGCTCACTCTTGGTGCTTGTCACTATGGTTAAAAAATGGTCATCGATTTTTAAATTGTTTCCTGATAAAATATTGAATTCAAAATTTGTATGTGCATTGCTTGTGGATGCGGTGTCACGATTTTGATTTTTACAGGATTAGATTTTCTTCAAATTTAAAATTGAAACGAGTTTTTGCAAATATTTTCGTTAGCAAATAAACTGAGAATCTTAGAATGTTATTGTTTGCACCATAAGACACAGTGGATTGGAATTAAGTTAAAGTTTTAACAGTTTTTTTGGGGGGGGAGGAAGGGAGAATTTTTGAAAATCGCTCGAAATTTTAGACCTTTTGACGCCCATTAATTTTAAAATTTCATATCTAAAAATATATCGGTTACAAACTTCCGAAATTTTCACAGGTTATAAAACAAACTTTTTGCATTTTTTAAAAAAAGAATGATAAAAGACATTAATTGGACGATTTTTTTTTACTTTTTTAAAAGATAAGCAGTGAATCAAAATTGGAAATATTAGTTCTTCTTGCGCATGATTTCGAAATTAAATTCTATCTCCAATTCCTAGAGGCAGTTAATGATTGTTCGCCTTGTGAATGG